ACGTGAACCAATGGACTGCGCGACTGAGGTGTTTACGATCTGACAAAGGAACCGAATTTGTAAACAAGATAATGGCTGGAATATCTCAGCAGAACTGCATTGTACACCAGCGTTCCGGTCCATACAGTCCTCAGCAGAACGAAGTGACGGAGCGTATGAACAGGACTATCACGCAGCATGTTGCATTACAAGAGCGTCTCGAAGGAATGGTGGGCGGACGCGGTAACACAACGGTTTATTTAATTAATCGCTCCAGCAATACGGCCGTCCAGACCCAACAAACTGGCTTTCACGATGAAGCCTTAAATGGATCATTTGCGTGTGTTTGGTTCGCACGATGAAGCCTTAAATGGATCATTTGCGTGTGTTTGGTTCGCACGGCTACGCTCAAATTGACGATGTGAAACGGACCAAACGGTAACTCAAGAACTTCAAGTGTATGTTTTTCGGCTACGCAGAAATTGTCAAGGGCTATCGCGTGTTTGACTTAGAGAATGCCAAGATCATAGTGACTCGCTCTGTGAAGTTGGATGAGCGTGATGTTGGCGGCATTTACGACACGCAAGAAGTCAGGACGGAATCAATCATTCAATTAATAAAGGATGGTGATGAAGTCAAGGCTCAGCATCAAGTGGATCGACAGCCAGTTCTGGACACCCGATGGAAGCTGTCGAAGAGCCAGTTGCGGATGTTGAAATGGATGATATGGATCACGCGTCAAGCATCAATGTATAGCGGCCAATGCCTTTTGAGAGCCCTGTACAAAACAGACTTGAGCTTATAAAGCTTCATGAATCGACCTGCAACACGAAGATCGTTTGGTGTTTCGGCCTGAAGTGGAGCAGAAAAGAGCTAGAAGTGAGCCGGTGCTAATGATAAGGAAGGGCTCAGATGACGAAGGTCCAGCGAATCCAAAACGTGCTAGGATTGACGAGGATGGACTAATTGCAGGAGCTATTCTTGCCTACGCTGTTGGCATTGACGATGATACGGACCTACCAACTACGTTTGCTCAAGCAATGGCAAGCGGCGATGCGATGAAATGGCGTTAAGCAATGAATGCTGAGATTCGCTCCCACATGTTGGCCGGAGAATGAGTCTCGAGAAACCGACGCCATGCTTTTGCTTGAATCCTTTCGCGACCAGTCGTGCCTTGCATCGCACGACATCGCCATATTGATCACGCTTCTTGGCAAATACCCATCGTGATCCAATTGTGCGCTTAATCCTTCCTTGTGGCTTCAATGTCCAGGTTCGATTTTCTTCTTAGGTTGTGCAAGTCGCTGGCGTTTAAGAGAGGCCTTTAGACCTAGGATGTCAATGCTACTATCAGTCATGCCGCTGAAACAAAAAATAGCCGAAATCTCGGTCATGCTTTTGGTTCAGGACGAATCGAGCATTGTGTGCCTCCGCTTCATCATTGTCGCCGGAATTGACACAAACTGCGTGTAAAGATGCAAGCGTGGTAGCACCATCGTTTGTGCGGCCAGAAGCCGACCACAAAGTGTCAATTCTCGAATGGATCTAAAAAGATGAGTATCGTAAGCAAAACAGGTTTTTCTGCTGACGCAAATTCAGACATCTTCTCAGTGAGTGCCGCAAGCGTCAGCAAAAAAGTCTACTTAATTGTGCAACGTCAAACAGGTCTTGGACGAAAATCGCTACGAATCAAGAAAGACCAGCATTTCTATCGTTAAACAAGCTCGAGACTATGTAGATCAAATCACAGAAACAAATTGACATCGAATACATGATAGTGGTTTGTTACGAGATTTGGTACGATCAACAACAAATCTGTTGTGATATGGATTGATGGTTGTACCAACCATAACATCATCCGTCCTGGTATCGTCAACAACAATTTAGCACAAATCAAAATACTTGCCGAACGTTTTGATATTACAAGTATATCAGTTCGTAGAATCCTTCTTCGTCTAAAAAAACAAGTTTGAAAGCCAAAGTGTTTGAAAATGTGAAATCGACGGAATGGCCGTCCTCAGAAATTTGTAACATTACTCTTGGAAGCCCATGGCTTTGCAACTACAACTTTGGACATCAATTGAAAAGGTTAGAAACGCGACTGTGCTTTGTGAGAGTTTCTTGCCAAATTTCACAAGAACGAGATATTGTGTACGTCATGCATCCCAAGCCAGACGCAAAACCGAAAAACAAAGCCCGATTCAAATTTTAAATGTTAAAAGTTGAGCAATCTGCACCCGAGAATTTTGTCGCTGAGCTGATGGAAAAGAATTGAATAGAAGAGCTCGAGTCATCGTGGGTATCTAGCATCTTTAAAGTGCCTAAAAAATCTAGTCGTTGGCAAGATCCTGTTGTGTGAAGAATTGTCATTTAAATATGCTGATCAGATGAGTGATCCACTATCGACACACCAACTCGGTCTCCAATATCGCAAAGATTCACTTCCGCGCAGTGAAGTTTTTCTAATTCAGTGATTCACGCATTTCCTCGTTTGCGATGGGGTCATTGTTGTTGTGGATAAGTGATCAGAACGACCTGTCTAAATACCGACACATACTATTGCGAAGCTCACATTAAAATTCTGGACCACATCGATGGCGCGCATGATACCCCCTTCCGCAATTTCTGGAACAAACACTTATCGATGATCGAGTATGCTCACGCTACTTCTGTTGAAATGTCCTCGGGTATGCCCTCCTGCTGTAATATCGATTGAGGACGATTGCAATCGGCCAATATTAGCATGCGCCACTGTTCCCTGGTTGCTGCCAGACGATCATCGACATAGCTCAAGAAAATATACCCAAAGCTCAAGAGCGTCAAACGCAGCATTACGACTGCAAGTCATATTCCAAGTTGGTAATTTAGCGTTGTAATCGACGGCAGATCTGTTAAAATTACACCGCTGAATGCATGTGGAAGATTACGGATGCTGATTACGGACATAATGGTAGTCGCTCATTGGTCTAGATAGATAAGTTTACATTAAGAAGCTTCTAGATGGATCTAGAAAGACAGGCTTAGCCGACAGCATCCCTTGGAATGTACAGTACATCCAACATCTTGATGTGCTTGCCATTAATCCTAGTCAGCTTAACCGTTCCTCATCCGGAGACTTGCAATTTCTTGCCGTCTACAACAGTCACATCGATGCTAGAGACCGACTCATCATTGTTTAGTAGGTCTACGGAGTCATGCGCAATGTCACGCCGTTATCGAATAACCATCCGTCGAGCATTTCTTTCCTACGGAAGGCTGCTCAGCAGTACCAGTAGCTTCCTTGTTTCGTCAACCGGTTGTCCAAAAGCCCGGAGATGAAAAATAATTCATCGAAGACGTCTGCGTGCTTGGTTATTGTCGTAGCACGCTTCGTTATCTAGTTCATGGAGACGGCGTGTCATCTCGATACGATTGTGTAGTGCGATGCGACGGTAGACCTCCTGCTGAGGGTTTCAAGCGTGAACAGCCGTCGTCGCAGGTCGCATCTTAGTCTGATTTTGCAGCTTGATGCTTTATGCGATGGTCCCCAGGGCTTTAGTGTCGTTAAATAACCCATCTTCCGTCATCTCCTTTTTCCTCTTGACGACTTGAACATGCGCCAACAACCCCTAGTACTCCAACGTCAAGCGCATGTTAAAGTCCCAGAAAAATTTGTTTTCACTGCCCAGGAGGACGTCGGCTCGCGTGGACGTAATTGTCGTGTGGATGCTGAGTAGTGGTCTTGTTGCGTCTGTAAATCTAGTAATTATTGGTAAAAACTGACGCAATTGTAAAAAAGTCCTTAGTCCGCTACGCTGTGCTACCTTTAAGCCTACCTGATTTATTGAGACAAATGAACGATTGCAACTACGTACGTGATCACCACACGCATTTGACGTCCCGTACAAGCGTCATGTGGTGTCATTATAACATTTTGATCCTTCCAGCCCTTCTTTATCATCTGTGGATCTTCTGCTTCGGCAATAAAGTATACCTACGTCATGCTGGTGTCGAATTCTTTATTGCGTTTTGGTGTCGCAAGCTTTAACTTAATGATTAGTTTTATTTTTCAAAATCTAAGCCCGCAACTTGCTATAAAGTATGCTGATATCGGTAATAATATCATAATAATCAGTGTTTTACAACATCTTTTGCTAACACCACTAACTCTGTTGCAATTGCTATATCCAAAGCAGACCATCCAGACATCAATGGTTGAAAGAACTACGTTGATCGCCTTGTGTAGGATTTACACGCGCGAAGCGACCATGTTGCTAAAGTGAGATGCTATTTGCGCCAATTTTTATATGGTATTTACGCTTTACGATGTAATTTTTGCTTCAGAGGAGTCAATTTAAATCTTCGTACTCAGTCGCACTTTGAAGCAAAACGATACGAGTATCTTACAATAAATGAGCCTCGTGGAAAACGCATGGCACTAAGGCTGGAACTATGACATGAAAAATAATTGTTGTCGCCACGAGATGAAGACTCGCGGATGAAAGAGCAGAAGTCGTAGACAACATTTGTTTCTGTGGATGAAAAGCATGACTCGAGAAGTTATATCAAGGCGACAGCTTTTCTTCTCTTCTCTTCCACTGATTACATTTATATCAACAAAAAGGTTCGTGAACTACGTGGAAATGGACGCGAATGAGGCGATGGATAAATCAGATGAAATGCAACGCGATGCTGAAGATCGCTACTTTGCTGAATAAGTAAGTTATAAAAGCTTGATGGCATATATCGTTCTTAGCAATATTATTTTTGTTTATGCTCTATAATTCTGCAAATTTCGATATATTTTCTCTTGTGCGCAGATTCATATCCAAGCCTAGACAGAAATATCATGAAACATCTCAAGTGGTGTCCCCCGAACGCCTTGACATGTGGATTTTTCATACTTATTCCTGTCAGCAAGTGTCAATGAAATTCGGCATGAAGTGTGCGATACCAGCTAGTTCATACTGACAGTAGATGTTTTGATCTTCTCGCTCTGATTGTAATGGGAGATATGATAGTTTTAGGTGATCAAACTTGGAGCGGAAGTCGCTACATCAGCTCCTTGATCTGAAC